TCATGCAACACTGTAACCATATGCAATTTTTATCATTTTTTTCACACAAATAGAGCTTTTTTTGGTGGTATTTAATCACCACTGGGTGTTTTATTTTTTGCACTATAAATGAAAAAAGAGCAAAAAATTAAAAACATAAAAGGTTTCCTTTGCTTCTATTCTAAAATTTTGCAAACAGGTAATATTTCTTCTTTGATGTGCGTTGGTGAGGCTGCACTGATAGGCAGCACTGATGGGCATTGATGAGGCGGCACAGATAGGTAGCACTGATGAGGCGGCACTGGTGAGCATTGATGAGGAGGCTCTGATGATGCACTGATATGCAGGAAATGATGGGCACTGATAAGCGGCACTGACAGCACCAACTGGAGGCACTGACAGACGGCACTGACCGGCGCCACTGCTGGGCATCATTGATGGGTGGCACTGATGGGCAGCACTAATGAGGTGTCACAGATAGGCGACACTGATAATGGGTACTGATAGACAGCACTGATAGGTGGCACTGACTGACATCACTGCTGGGCACTGACTGGCACAACCGCTGGGCACTGACTGGTGGCACTGACTGGCAGCACTGCTGGGCTGCACTGATGGGCACTGGTGGGTGGCACAGGTGGGCGGCACAGGTGGGCACTGGTGGGTGCATTGCTGGGCACAGGTGGGCGCACTGTTAGGCACAGGTGGGCGCACTGCTGGGCACACGTGGGTGCATTGCTGGGCACAGGTGGGCGCACTGCTGGGCACAGGTGGGCGCATTGCTGGGCACAGGTGGGCGCACTGCTGGGCACAGGTGGGCGCATTGCTGGGCACAAGTGGGCGGAACTTGTGTATGGCACAGGTGGGCACCGATCATCAGGGCACTGATGATCAGTGGCCCTGATGATCGGTGCCGATCCCTGTTCTAACAACTGCCGGTTTTCGGCAGTACTTTCCTCACGATCTGACAGCGTGAGGAAAGTGCAGCCGAGAACCGGCATTTGCATTTCCCGGTGATCAGCGTGTCATTGGACACGGCTGATCACGTGGTAAAAGGCCGCTGTGATTGGCCTTTTACCATGTCACGTGATCAGCTGTGTCCGCAGGACACAGCGATCACAGAGATCGCCCGGTGCGCGCCCCCGGAGGTGCGCAGGAGAGCGCGTTCTCTTCTCTTCTCTCTTCCTCCTGGCGTGCCCACTGAGATGGCTCTGCGTGCCAGCTCTGGCACGCGTGCCATAGGTTCGCCATCACTGTTCTAACACTTTCACTGCTTATTTACCTGGGAAAGACAAAAACAGCTTACTCAAATTTTTAAATCATCTAACAAAGATATTACTTATCTCTGGTCATGCCTGCAAAGTGAGCTCTCACAGACTTAAATAGGGGCAGATAGTAGGCTTTTGCAGTCCCGAGAGAAGGCCCACCACAGAGGGACAGGAAGCAATGAGGAAGTTTTCTGGTATCAAGATATCAAGTATCGAGTAAGGTGTTGCTCTCCTGCTTGGGTAAGTTGTTTGGGGGGGTGTTAGCTTGGATAAGGAGGGCATGTTTGGGTGGATAAGTGTATATTTATGGAAAGTACACTTAACCCTTTGTACTACGCTAAGCACTATGCGTGAGCTGAACATTTTGCTTGTTTGGATAACTGTTATTGGCTGAGTCAAACCTCCAGTGACAGTGGGAAGTAACACATTAGCAGTGGATAGTGTTAACCTCTTCCTGCCCAGCCCTGGGATACCTTTAATAGAGCCTGTATGCCCGGGGGGAAAGAATTGGCGATCACATGACTGCTGTGATTGGCTGTCCTGCTGACTAATGATCATTAGTGGGGACAAAGAGCACAGTGAAGCATATGTGCTTTGTGTGTACATTAAAGCCCACCCTTTTGCTGGCACACATATGTGTTATATGGTCAGCAACAGGTTACAAAAAAGGTGTGGAGTCCCCCCATATTCATACTAGACCCTTCACCTATGCAGCAAAAAAACAAGCCACAGTGTGCGGTTCCCTGCAAATTCCATACCAGACCCTCCAGGTATGGATTTTAATGGGGGACACTAAGCAAAAATTTAAAAGTTGGACCCCCTAAAAAATTAACATCGACCCTGACCTGAGCATACAATCTGGAAGTCTGTTCTACTAAATCATACCAGGCCCCCACACCCTTGCAAAAGGGAAGCCTGCTGGCAAAGCACCTTGTCCCCATGTTGGACTAGGGTTGTGGGGGGTTTGCAGGCAGAAGACTTATTGGAATATGGAAGCCCCCTTTAACAATCAGAGGGCCCCCAGATACCAGTCATCCCTGTGTGAAAAACGTAAGTGGTACAAAGTACAAATTCACACACAAAAAAAGTGAATAGTAAACATATACACAGTTTTTGACAGGTCTTTTATTAAAAAAAACAAACAAAACAAAAAAAAAAACAAAAGTCCAACAATGTAAATTCATTATCAATCACATTGTCCAGCGATGCAGATCTATGTCAATAATATGAAGAACCCCACCAACATATCCTATCCCATTGCTTCATTTGCACTGAATGACATTTCCCGGGCCCCGACGCTAAATTAAACACAGGGACAGGTTTTCCTGGATAACGTCATTGCCTAAATATGGATGTGCCAAATTTAGTCACACTAGTCACACAGGGGGAGGTGTCTAGGGACCCTCTTTTTGTTATAGGGTTTTTCCAAGTTCCAAAAAGCCCACAGACCTCCACTAGAACCTGACCAGGGTTGTGGGGAAGATGCCTCTGTCCTCTTTAACATGTGGACAATGTGCTTTGCTAGGGGGTTCCCCTGCCAAGGTACTCCCCATGTTGAGGGCATGTGGCCTGGTAAAGTTCAGGAAGGGGAGGGGGCATGCTCATCCTGCTCTTTTCTGGCCTGCCAGGCTGCATACAGGGATAAAGGTCTGGTATTTAATTGTTTTGGGGAAATTCACACCTTTCTCTTTTTTGTGTGGGTTTCTCCCTTCCATATCAAACCCTCATCAAGTAACCCTACGCCATTTTTTTTTAAATTGTGTGTGGAGGTCTCCATTAACATACATATCTGACCCTCCTTTAGGACAGAAGTAAAGTGGTTGAAACTGTCGTTTGCCAGAAACTGCACTTTTTTTTTTCTTTGTAAATGTCAATGCTGTTGTAGGTTGCATACGGTGTACAGATGAGCCACGTCACAGGCAGGTAAGGGTAATCCACCAAGGAATTAATTAAAAGAATTCTGCAATTTTAATGTTCTCTTTAAAGCATAAATAAAAAAGCTGCTCCCCAAATTGAATTTTTTTTTTTTGCTTTGGTACATGTTCCCCGGGACAGTGCCCAGTCCCCATGCTTATTTCTTTAACAATCCCTTGCCTATTAATCTAGAAAATCATCAATGCTGTTTGTTAACTTTAGGTTCCCCCATGACTTCAGTGGGGTTTGGAATCAGCACCTGAACATCAGTCATGTTTTGCCAACCAACCTTGAGTTGAACCTAGGTACGTTTGGCTCATCCATACTAAGCACCACTGAGAACACGTGTGTCACACATAAAGGCTTGTAAAAGAAAGCACTAATCAGCCACATTTTTTTTTTTTTTTATGTCTCCAGTGCAGTATGAAAGAATAATATGGAGATTCTATGGCCCTTTTATGTGTGTTTTAAGTGAGATAACAGCAATTATTTTGTACGTCTGAACTGTTTGGATAACTGCTTTCTGTGCAATGGATCCAATATCCTAATGTGTGTGTTTATTTTAAGAGGCATCACACAGTAGAGAAGAACATTCAAAAGCAACATTTTCTTTTTTGTTTTTTTCTTTTTATAACGGCTGAAATGCTTTTCCCAAACTTGCTTCTACATAACAAGCACAGAATGAAAATACACAGCACCAAACAAATTATAGCAAGAACTAGCATGTGAAATCAGCCCTGCATTTCTAATGCAGTTTTCAGCCTGTTGGTGTCAGATCACTTGACAGGACAGTCCCCAGACTGTGACAAAGCCAAAGATGAGTCTGCATACTGCCAGCATTGGTGTGTGAAGTACTTGATGAATGCAAGTTTGAGTGGCTCTCCTCCCACAGTACGAGAAGATCATCCCTACCGAACACTTTAAAAGCTCAACCATTTCTTAAGCCAGAGGAAAGTCTAATCGAATATTGGCTGCTGCATCACTTAGACTGATTGCACAGCATCCAGATATTGGCTTGCTATGCTTGTGCTGGTAAATAAAACACCTAGGAGAGAGGCAAACACACTTCAATAAATACGAGGTATAGGAATGATGAGGAACAAGAGAGGCAGACACCGATCTCATGTCTTCAATAAAGACACTAAGTGGCCTTTAGAGGGCAGAAGAAGCCTATGAAACACATGCATAATCCCCACAGAAGTAATTTAAATGTGCTAAAATGTAGCATATGGGAGTCTATTGGTGATTTTGACCCACTGCATATATAGTTTTATGTTAGGTTAAAATGCATAATAACAATATTATGTACAAGCTAGAAAACACCAATAAATCTTAAGTAGTTAATCTTGCTGTGTTCACTGCTTTACATAGTGCACAGTGAGTTTCAAATATAATTTAACTAAGGAAATGTAGCCTGTATCGATCAATGTTTTCTTCCTGCTTCAAGGGAGAGAAGTAGAAATTATGAAGCCATATTGACTGTGAGTGCAATCGCTGGGTACTACCAAATGTAGCAAATCATACACCACAGAAACAAAATATTTCCTCATTCAAAGTTAAAAAAAACAAAACAAAACAAAACTACTTGCAAAAACTTACCATGTATGTAGTTCTTTCAGCTTAATTTATTCAACGTTACAACACAAAAAAATGTTTTCAAACATGCATATATACATTCACAACCCTACAAAACAAAAAGCCCAATTTGTGCAACAGATTTAAATATAATTGCAGGCTTTTAAGGTAAACATTATAGCAAAGGTACAACAAGTTTAGAAATCTGTTAACCAAACATATATGAACTGCAAAGCTAAACAAAAACATTTTTAATTTGCTTACCCCCATACTGAAGTAGTATTTTGCCAATATCAATGTGTCTGTTTTGTAGAGCATCATGTAAGGGAGTCACACCATCCACATGACTGAGCAGGTCTACTTCTGGGCAGCGCTGCAAAATTTCACGGACACATTCTGTGCTGCCATGGTTACAAGCTTCATGCAAAGGCGTCCAGCCAGCATTGTCTGAGTTATAAATCAGCAACAATTAAAAAAAGAATCCAGCTAGACCACTGTACACATCCCACAGTAAAAAAAAACCCCAAAAACTTGGCAAAGCTCTACTGTGTGCTGTATCTGTGTTAAAGACTCATAAGCATGATGAAGAGAAAGAACTTTAAAAAAAAAATCAATACTGTCAGAGTCAATATTGGGAACAAATGTATCAAGCTTAAAAAAACTGTTGTGCCAACTTGAATCACTACATAATTGTTCTTTGTGAGAACTGCATATACCAATAAAGATAAACATAAAAGATAAAAAAATAAAAAAAGCCTCACCTTTCGCATTAATGTTGACCCCAGGAAGCCCGAGTTGTTCAGTCAGCTTTTTGACATTGTTGCTCCTGCACATTTTATGAAGGACAGTTTCTCCTACCAAGGAAAATTGAGAAAAAAATATTTAAGCAATGTAAGAATTAGCAGCAGGGTGCTTGGAAGTTATCCTGTCAAGCTGTGCACCAAGATTTTACTAATACCACAAACTGCATTTATAGAGAAAGAGAGAACAATCATCCAAACTCAGCTTGGGAATAAAAGAAAACTTTGCACAAACCTAGCAGTGTATTGCAAAGAGAGCAGTCAGACTATTCTGCTCTATCCCTAGCAGGAGAATCATCTCGCCTAATCCCCCTCCTTTCACTTTTAAAGCTTCTATGGCTTACAATAAAAACGCAAAATGAACAGTGAACTCCAAAAACACTCGGTTTTCAGGCAATAAAAGTTTAGAGTGTGCAGTTGCCCTTCCCTTAAAATTATTCATGAACCTCCATTACACAAGTCGTCCTTTTACACTGCATTTATAGCTTAATTCAAATGAATGTTCCTGGCCAAGCACGAGTGCCTCCGCACAGTAAAGGATAATTCACAATTTCAAATCCTTTAGCAGATGGTTTGCTGCTCCTCGGTAAGCTGTCTTGACTACAGAGACACTGGGAGAATAACGTGCCGAGCGGAGACAGCATCTAAACTTGAGGAGACAAAATGTGAATGTCACTGGCAGTTTTATACACTAAAAGGAAATATATATATATATATATATATATATATATATATATATATATATATATATATATATATTAGTAGATGTATGCATGTGAATTCAAAGTAAATTCTTCAATAAACATGTGGTGATACCTATAAAAATGAGTTTAAAGAAAATAAAAACCTTTTAAATGTTTGTCTACATGATATATTGTACATTCTGTATCCTGTTTACTAGTGTTAAGCTTGCCACACAAAGAGTGATTTTTGCCAAATTGGCAGGAATGGGGTGAAATTTGTTCAGTGGACAGCCCTGTTTGCACCAACCGTCTTGACAAAAATAGAGTTTTTAGGTTCAGGTGTTCTGACAGCCACAGGTGCTGGCTGTCAGAATACAATAGTCAGCATTGCAGACGCTGTTTATTGTGGATAGGGAATGAAGTGATCTTAATGTGTATGGCCACCTTAGCACTTTCATTGTGCCCTACACCGCTCCTCTCTGTTAACATCTAACTGAACCTCTGGTAGGCCTACTCTATATCTGGGTCTCAGCAATTACTATTATTATTATTATACAGGATTTATATAGCGCCAACAGTTTGCTCAGCGCTTTACAGTATAAGGGAGACAATACAGCAACAGTACAATTCAATACAAGAGGGATAGGACGGCTCTGCTCCTCAGAGCTTACAATCTAATTATTCCAGACGTCATATTGCCTGATATGCAGGTCATTTTTTAAATAAAATGAACAAAAAGTTATGGGAACTAAAGCAGAGTTGCTGCCCTAGGTGAATGCTTCACTGAAAAGGATTCACTGAAAACTAATAATACACATTAAACCAGGCGATAGATGGATCAAATGTTGGCCGGTTCAGCAGGGACAATCTGAGATTTGAACTATCTATGGGAAGGCTGATTGTAGTGAAGTCGATCTATCAATCGACTTCAATACAACCAGCCTGTCAGATTTTTTGCATATGATTACTGTTGTCAGCTATAGCCACATCAGTGATCATAGTGTTCTGCTGGCAGGGAAGGCTACACTCCAGCAGAACAGAATAGGGCTGGGGGAGGGATTTTACCATAAACACTGACTGTACTGATGGGGAAGTCGAGCCATTTTCTTTCCTTCTAACAGTGGTGGAAGGAAACAAAATTGTATAATCTATGGCTGATTTACTGTGATAGTAGAACGGCTTGGACAATTTTACATGGCAGCTCCTAATTACAAGGCCCTTTCTTAACTCTATTGAAATAAAGAAAAATCGAGTGGAGCAGTAAACATTTTGATTTTAGTCCCGTTGCAATAGTTTACAAAATACTACAGCAGTTTACCAACTGATTTAAATTGTGACCTGTAGTTGATTTTTACAGTTTATTTTACAGAACAGAAAAAACCCAATAGGTACATTTTTTCACAGGTACAATTCTGGGGCAGCGATTGAAGTTAAAAAGTGCCTTGACATCAGAGCATTCAGATGCCACAGACATGACAGCAAAGTGCCACAGCTTTGATGCAGCAAAGTGAAAGCTTTGCTAAGAGATAGCACGTTTAGAACAAGTCTGCTCAATATGACTTTTCGGTACAAAGTATGGGTAATTTACAAAACAGAAATACAGGTGGAAGGCCCTTCACATTATGTACTATAAATATACCCTGATCACAAATAGTTTCTTCTTGATGGATTTGTGTTGAAGGGCTTGGTGAAACACTTGGAAAGCAACGCAAAATACAGCCTTCCAATTAGTAACACACTTTACTAGTAAATTATTCATGGGAAAGACAGGGATATCAACTGTGTTTTTATTACACCAGTCAATAATGTACATTCATTATTTGTATGACTGCAAAAGCACCAACCAATGTAAGTTAAATGTGCTTTTTACTGTGTATTTAGAAAAATAGTGGAAGGACTCTACTCACCTGTTGCAGTTTAAATTTTAGTCTTAGATTAAACAGTTTAGACAAACTGATAATCAGAATGAATTTCTCTCAATTTAACCTGCATACCAGGTTGTTCCAGGTAGGCAGAATTCTACAGTTACCTATACGCCTATTTCAACTCCTTTGGCTGGAGTTGGTTTTATGACCTAATCTTTTAATTTTATTACATATGAATAAGTAATAATATGAACATGTGTTTGGTAAAAGACTGCAAATGAAAGTTTCATTTGTGTGGGTTTCCTTTGCTCTGGTTTCCTACCTTATTTTAAAAACATGCCAATATTCAACCAGCTTTCTTACAAAATTGCCCCCTGTAAGTGTTTGTACATCTACAGTGCTGAGACAGCATGAATTGTTACAGAATGTCAATGCTTCTGTGTACTCAGTCCTCTCCAAGCTGCACACAAATTGCGGGGAACAGCTAATAAGCTGCGGACCAAGAAGACAGCCTTGGCATAACTACCCCATGGAGGGATTCTGATAACCCTTTTAATAGGCACTTTCTCAAGAAAATATGGCTGAAGACATACATTTAGGTTCTACGACAAATTAATGTCTCAGTTTATAAACTATAATTTCACAGTATGACATCCATTATCCTATATATCTACCAAGTTTCTATTCTTGGTAATACACGGTGTCTGTTCATTAAATAAAATGACCCAAACATATTCAGGAAATATATGAACCCCAATTAATAGGATTAAATTGCTAAAGTCCAATGCAACCTGGCAGATTAGATCACAACTACTACTAACATCAAAGAGAATTGATAGGTATTCTTTCCCTTGGATGTTTCCACATTTTGTAGTGTTCTAACCTGTAATAGAAATGCATATAACTGGCATTGTACACGTTTTTCTATTTATTAGGAATTTCAAAACAACGTGACGACTCTTATACTAAACTGCAAGGTCAGCCGGCTTGCCAGACAGACTAGTCACATGACACTTTCAGTTATGACCAATTTACTACTCCTCCCACCCTCACTGTTTCCAATGAAAATATAAAAGTGCAGAAGCTTTTTGAAGACCCCTTGTTTATCACTGTTCAAAATAAAATAGTACATAATGCCAAGTTTCATATAAAAACAAAATCAGAAGTATTGACTGAATAAATATTCAACCCTTTTATTTTGAAATCTTTAAATAAGCTTTGTTGCTCCAAGCAAAAATACATACACCTATGTGTGGAAGGAATCAGGATTTGTTAGAGAAAAAAGGAAACAAGCACTATCATGGTGACCAAAACGCTGTCAAAACAATACAAATCTGAGATAACGTTTTGGAGGGCGCCAATCAGAAATGGGATAAAATATTTTTTTTTTAATTTAAACTTTTTTTTTTTTTTAACATTTTCCAGAACAATGATAAATCCCTAATCTAAAAAAAATGGACAGAATATAGCATAATCATCACTCACCAAGTGGCCAATGGTTAACTCAAAAAAAAGTAGACTTACACAGGCCAGGTAGGTAGGTAAAACTGTCCATAGGAATTCTCTTACCGATACACTCCACAAAGATGGAACATATCAATTACAGTTGAGGTATGCCAAATGTGAAATGTTTAAAAAGATTCTCTGGTCTAAAGACGCTAAATCTGAACTATTTAGCATTAATTCCAAAAGTGTATGTGATGAAAAGCCAAAAATTTTCATCACTCTGAGAACATCTTCCCCATGATGAAGCATGGTGGTAATGCTCTTCACTGGCATTGTCTAAAGCCGACCAATAGATGCACTGAATCTTGGCCGGTTCAGCAGGCATCGATCTATGGGCAGGCTGATTGTACAACAAGCATGTTGGACTTTTAGCATGTGATTATTGCCAGCTGCTATAGCTGCACATTAATCATTGTGCTCTCCTGGCAGGGACAGCTCCCCATGTCCTACCCCCTGCCAGAAGAAAACAATGGATCTGCGGGAGGAATTCCCCCATCAAAACGGACAGTGTTGATTGAGAAATCGGGCAATTTTCTTTCCTGCATCCATGGGTATAATCTATTGTCTGCCTAAGAAACAGGTCAGCATTACGGGCAAGATGGATGGACTTAAACACAGGGAAATTCCAAATATAGGAAAAAATACTTCAGTCCGCAAGATAACTGACTCTGTGATGCAGGGTCACCTTCTAGAAGGATAGAGACCCTAAATATATGGTCAAAATTACATTGTAGCATTTTTAAACCAAGATCCCAAACATCTTAGAATGGTCCAAAGTCTAGACCTAAACCCAACAGTTAATTTGTGGCAAAACAAGAAAAGTGCTGTTCACTAAAAGTTCCAATCTAATCAGCAATAAGCAATGCAATGCTGAACGTGACCCACTTCTACCAAATATTGACTCTGCTGGAGACCTTATATCTCTGTTTATATTGCCATGAGAAATGCAGGAGCTTTGATTTTTTTCACCAGGTTGGTTTTTATGGTAAGAAAACTTTGATATTGTAATGGTGTGTGACCATTTCATATTTTACCTGTAAAAACTATAAAATGTCTGCTTTTTTTGTTTACTTAACCACTTCCTGCCTGGCCCATGTAAATAAATGGCTGGACGGGAGCAGTGCAGGAGCAGGTGGCAGTTTATAAATGTCCTCCCACATTCCCTGCCTGTATGCACTCCCTGGGAGAGCACGGCACCGCAATCCGGTGCCTGCTGTGTCCTCCGGACACAGTGGAACACCGATTTCTGTACGGGACCTCTGTGTGAGGTCCCGATCATGTAATCCCTGATTGGTCAATCAGTGATCACATGAATAGTAGTAAACAAGATGTCACTTGCTGACATCATTGCTTACTACTAGTGAAATCTGTGTAAATGATAACAGCTCTCACAGTATTTCTCAATCATCAAGAGATGGAGAAATTATTGCTTTTACAGCCTTTATGGGTGTAAAAGCAATCAGGGTAAAAAAAAAATAATTCTTCATCACCCCCCACAAGTAGTACAGTGTCACTATGGTGACACTGTACTGCTAGGGTAACAGTATGTTAAAAAACAAAACAAAACATAAATAATAATATAAAAAGGTTAAATAAAAATGTAAAACACATTTTTGAAAAATTATAATTTTGGTTATAAACTAATTTGGGTTATTTTTTTTACTAAAAAATAAAAATCCCAGTGGGGAATAAATACCACCAAAATAAAGTTTTATCTGTCTAAAAAAAATGTTAAATTAAATATGGGTACAGTGTTGCATGACCACACAATTGTCATTCCCCTTGATGACGTCGTGGATGACGAAACGCGTTGGGCGTGGCCTACTCGATGTTGACGTCAGGACGCCCTTTTCCCAGTGTGTGTCGGAGGTGATCCGCGGTGAGCGGGGACCGTCCACTACTTCAGTGCTGTGCATTGCTGGTTAGGCTGGTGTCTGTCTGGACACCTCTTTTGTGAGTTCTTTGATATTTTAATAAATATATATGTGTTTTAAACGTACTGCACCATTATGTCTTTTCCTTTGTCCCTGAGTGTGACTCATGCATATATGGAGATATGGAGTTAATGGAGAGATTCATCATGAGACCTTTGGCTGCAGAGCATTGCTTCTGGTAGTGATATGCTGTCCTTTATGCCGATTATCATTATTGATCACCTGGACGTGATTATTATTGAAAATTACTACATCTAATACCTGGATATCGTTTACCCATCGCTCCCAGAGCACAAGCGCTATTGCTGGTCTATAATTTGATCAGCATTTAGCTCTGGTGAGTCCATCTAATTCATTTGGTGGTGGATTATTCACAGTGTTATGAATTCACAGAGGATATTTTGAGTTTGTTTTGGACTTGCACAGATTTATTATGGACACTTAATTATATGGTGATATATATTTTTATTTAGCGCATGCCCTTATTAAATATTATTTACATGAATGGGATTGCCTGCACACAGATGCACGGAACACCTCTGCATCCCGTGTGGGTAGAGATGGCCATTTGCACGGGTATATGCATGAATGTGCTGATGTCCTAAATGAAGTAGTATCATTCAAAACATTTTAATTTCATGGTGAATTAAATATATGTGAAAATCACTTTTAAGGTTACAGCACCTTTCTCTTGTACACTTATATTTTTACTGAAATACCTTTGAGTTTTTTTTTCTTTTTAATCTACAGTCTTAAATGTGTATATTGAATCTGTTTGCATCTGTAGCATTACTTAATATCTTGCAAACAGACTTGATAACCGGTTCCGCGCCACCCTATAGCAGAAATACTGCTACAGGGCGGCACGGGTGCGCAATATCACGTATATACAGTATACACGTGATTTTTCAGTTCCGGGTAGGGAGCACGTGTGGCTGCACGCCGCCATTCGCGGCCTCGGCTGTCAATCACCAGGTCCCGGCTGGTGATTACTAGCTGGCACCCGGTGATCGTCAAGTATCTCCGACAGGGGAGAGACCTGTGCATAAACAAACACAGGTCTCTCCCCTGTCAGCTCCTGCACACTGCTTTGTATGGCTCTGCGTAGCACAGCTATACAAAGCAGTGTGCTTACAGTGATGCACACACACAGCCAACATAGTGAAACAGCACACAGTTAACCCTTTGATCACCCGAGATGTTAACTCCTTCCTGCCCAGTGCTTTTTATTAGCACTGATCGCTGTATTGGTGCCACTGATGATGTCAGTGACACCAAGTCAGTTCCCACAGTGTCAGAATGCCCGCCGCAGTCCCGCTATAAGTCGCTGATCGCCGCCATTACTAGTATAAAAAAAAAAAATGTCAGTATCTATACCACCATTTGTAAACGCTATAACTTTCACGTAAACCAATTCATTTACATGTATTGGGGTTTTTTTTTTAGCAAAGACATGTAGCAGAACACATTTTGGCCTAAATTTATGACGAAATTTGATTTTTAAAATTTTTTTTACTGGATATGTTTAATAGCAAAAAGTAAAAAAGATTGTTTTTTTTTCTTAAAATTGTCAGTCTTTTTTTGTTTATAGCTCATAAAATAAAAACAGCACAGGCAATCAAATACCACCAAAAGAAAGCTCTATTTGTGTGGAAAAAAAAGGACGTAAATTTGGTTGCAACGTTGCATGACTGTGCAACTGTCAGTTAAAGTAACGTAGCACCATATCGCAAAAAATGGCCTGGTCAGGAAAGGGGGGTAAATTGCCTGGAGGGCAAGTGGTTAAAGAACCTAAAACCTGTTTATAAATCTGGAACCAGTATGGCAGTACTTTCTTTACTAACTAGTGTGTGGGGGATGAGGGAAATATAACAGGACTTCATTGTAAAATATTTGGGCTTAAATACAGTTTTAAATGAAGCCAAGGGTGATGCAGTCTGGGCTCAGTGCCTGGAGTAAAACAGTCCATATGCTGAAATTTGTGCAAACTAACGAGACCCAGCCTTTGTTCACAAAATGTCTAGGTCTGAAACAGACAGACAGACCAAATTATACTACCAAATCAGATGATAGCTACATTAATAGCAGAGCAGATGTATGGTTAAAACACAAATTGTACAGATATTATGTTTTTTAATGGCAAAATAAATCAATATTACAAAACTGACCAGATAAAACGATGCCCCAAATTGTTTTTAATAGATATAAGAATAAAGAATATACTGTGTACACTTCACCTGCTTCCTGGATGCTGTTATTTTGTGGACTATTCCAGTATTAATACTGACAGAGATGAGCTTAGGCACGATCAGACAGAAGTCTGAACCCACTTGGTCTATCCTGTCAGGAACCTGTCCAACAGACAGCCAATCGCAGTGGGCGGAGACATTCCCCACCCAACAACTGTATGTATACATGACCCTTGTATACGAGTGGCTTTCTAGTCCAAGTAGAGTTATGGGGGCTAAGGAGAGCAGATTTTTTTTTTTTTTGGTGAAGTGAACTTTAAAATGCTCTCTAGATTTCCAGAGTCAAAGTGGTATTAAATTCCAAACCAGAAATGTAATAAATTGCACCTTACCAATCATTAGATGTGGTGGCTGCATCAGTTTTATTTTCTTTGTTTTTTCTTCCCTCTGCTTTCACCTGGTAATCTGCCCAGTACAATACCTCCTGTATTAGTGAAACACAATTCTGGAGGAATGAGCACAGGAGGCACATCAGACGACAGCAGCATTGTCAGTCTGGGCGGAGGGAGGGAAGTGTTAAATGTACCAGCAGACTTAAATAAAACAACAAATTTAAGCCAAACTTCAGCTCACACTTTATAATCAGTTACAGCAATAATTTTCTATCCTTTTGGGATAAAGGTTTTACATTAATAAACAAAAGCTGATCATTTTAATCACCCCTGCCAGTGTTAAGTGGTTTGTCTCATCCATGTAAACTTATACATTCTGCTGAAGAGCTTTAGCTTCTGAAAAATAACAGACTTGCTGGCTGGCTCACCAGATGAAAACAGAAGAAAGAAGGCCTAAAAAAAAGGAAACTAATAAACATCATATCTAAGAATTGGTAAGCTGCAATATAATAAATGTTTGCTTTAAGGTTTAATACTGCTTTAAATATAATGTAAAACCATAACGTAATACATTTATAGAATGATGTCTACCTTTCCTGTTTTGGCAACTGGATTGTAGTCGGTTAACTAGCGGTACTGTAGCATCGGCACCTCCATGTGTCCTTTTCCTCAACTTCGAGGAAATCCTGTTAAAACCACAAATAATTAAACTTAAAATGAATTGCCAAGACAAAGGAGTTAGAATTTTCTAACATGCATAAATAAAATGCCTCTACATTTATTTGGATGTAGGGCTCTACAACATAAGTCAACAGCTGTTATTTTTAAGAAAGTAAGTAATCTTACTTATTCTGGTATCTTTAATACCTTGTCTATAAAGGTATGTTTATAGACCTCCTGGTGTTCAATAGGTAAAAAAAATAAAACACGGCTCAACATGTTGCGCGGGAGGAGAACCATTCCTATAGAACCACCAGATCACTTCTACAGATGGTGGAAGGGGGTGCCTCCCCTGTGATGGACAGCCACAGCTGTGCATGTTCCGATGTACTATGAGGAGGGGAGTCCATCTCTTTGCTCTAATCAGAGCTCAGAGGTCTGCAGTGTAAGACTTCAGATCCTTTCAGAGCTGAGAGATGTAGCATAAATCATGTGTTTTGGAAGGCTTCAGAGAAGCAAGGGACACATATAAACAGGTGCATTTATCATTTTAGGAGAATTTGTCTAATCTCTGTGGATAGTCACTTCACTGGGTATACGTAAGGGTTTTCAACCACATTGAAGGAAAATAAAATTATACAAAAATTAAATTGTAACAATAAAAAAAAACACAAAAAAAAAATGTAAAGAGCACCCGTCACCTCATACTTACGTATGCAATGCAAACACACACATGTATGTAAACAGCAATCAAGCTACGGACATCAGGGTGAAAGCAATAATTCTAGGACTAAAATTCTTTGTGAACTCTAAAATGATAACCTATCAAGCTTTAAAACTGAATGCAGTTTTATTTTTTCTTAAAAATATGTTTTTAGAGAAAATGGCATTCTGTGCGCCCTAAACTAAACTACTGTAAATCTCACTAAACTTGTTTTAAAGCAGGAACTTCTAAATGCAGATATTCATAGAACTCATTATTTCCCAAAATGCAAAGTGTTCTGTGGTTGGAGGTGGATCCTGTCATTCATCTGCCCTTCCTACATTCACAGAACATTCTGTAGAGTAGTACAAATACTACAAATGGAACAGATGGATGGAAGGAGAGGGCAATTAATACAACTGTTTCACACTGGCAGTGAATGATGCTAACCCTAGCAGTGCCTGAGCCTCAGTGAAGTGGGGGACACACGTCAGCAGTAGGGAGAAGATTTCTTCTCCAAATGCAGCAACCAGCCAGACATGCTATACACTTCCTTACATGTAAGTTATGTCCCTGGTGCTGTATAGCAAAAAAATAAACTGGGCAGCGCAGTGGCCCAGGGTTAGCACTGCAGCCTTGTAGCACTTGGGTCCTCGGTTTGATCCTGAAAAGGACACTATCTTTATGGAGTTTACATTATCTTCCTAAGCTTGCGTGGTTTTCCTGCAGACATTCCAGTTTCCTACCACACTGCAAAGACATTTAGTAGGTTCAATGCTTCCTGTCTAAACTGTCTCTAGTATGCATGAGAAAGGGACATTACATTGAGGGCAAGGACAAATGTGAATGTAAAGCGCTGTATAAATACCTATATTAAAAATAAATTAAACTTCAGCTTAACATTTATAATGTTTGTGCAGTGGTTCCTCGCAGTTAGCAAATTGCAAATTTGAGAAAAGAATGACCCAAATGCCTGCACACAAAAACTAATGTAATTACAAAACTGGAAAAAGACCTCAAGAATGTGAAAAACTACAGGTAACAAATATTTTTTTTTCCCAAGAGGACTACACAATTGCCATACAAATATATTATTTAAATTATAAAAGTATGAGCAGAAATTACATTGTGGACCTATTCAGGAAATCATCAAGTACCACTAGGTATCTAGTCTAAAAGTACATAAAGAAACCTCCTGCCCTTCACACACTTCTGCTTGGTCTGTCATCTATTTCTTTGCAATAGACTCCAGCATCCTGCTTTAAAATAGAGCTATAGGCAAAACATTTATTTTTACATTTTGGATAGAACAGGGAGGGCTATAACCTCTGTTAGGTTTGTTTTACCACTTGTGTCTCATTGCAGAGATTTCCCTTCATTTCCTTTCCCATAGTCAAACAAGAATTGAGGGGAAATCCCTGCAAACTGGGACCCCCAGGTCACCAGAACTAGTGTCCTCATTGAAGGATTTCCACTAAATACTGTTCAGGGGACAACCCAAAATTTGGGATTTTCTTTTACTTTCGATGATAATGGTAAACAGGTTAAATAGAGAGGGTGGATCTCCTTAATGGAGCAACAGACAACAATAAAAATGGACAGCCATTCTAATACCTCTCCAGAAAAAGAAGCTTTGCCTTTATTTTATTTTAAGTGCTTTAAAAAAAAAAAAAAGAAAAAAAAAAAAAAAAAGGAGGCCAAGAAGAACATCAAACTTACCAAAATCATTAGGATTTATGACACCTTTTACTTAAGGTAATCCATTTTACAGGTAAGACCATGGCTACTTAACTACTGTTTGACTAACTTTGTGCATTCTGTTTTGAAGTATTGTGGTGGTTGTTTTGATTTTTTTTGCACACGGGTAGTATTTGTATGTTTTTAAGCACTGCTGTCCCTATATCTCTTAGAAGGTAAAATTTAAATGTGTATATAGTGGAAAGCAAAGTCTTTTATAATTTGTAAATCATACATTTATAAATTGTAACCTTTTTTTAAGAGTGTATTGGTGACTTAGACAGGATAAGTTTTCAATTTGTTGGTATAAACATATACATGGATATTTTTATTTATCCTTTAGCATATTCCTATGTTCTCTGCCTTGCCCATTTAATCATGTTCACTTAGTCTACAGACACTAAAGAATGTTTAAGCAAGTGTTGGGACCCAGGTAGCAGGTCAAGTCTCAGTTATGGTGTCTATGAAATCTTCTCTTTACTATATATGTTTGCTATATATGGATCACCCTTTACCCTCAAGATTATATATGCCTTTTGTATCAATCGCCATGATCTATTAGATTAGAATCCTTTTGCTTGTGTTAGGTTGTCAACTAATATTAAAGTATGTTCATTGTTTACCCTGTAAAGTGGTGTATAATATCATAGTGCTGGAAAAATAAAAAATTATAGTTATATCCTGAATAATAATGACAGGTTGGCCTTGGCCACAAATTAATTGCTTCTTGTGCTCTAGTAGTTGTTTTCATACATTAAATTTAATGTGAAAAATATAGCAGCAAGTACAAGGTACTTAAATAATACATGAAGTTTTTGAGCTACCCAACCTGAAAGGGGACAGGCGCTCCACTCCTGAAAGCTGTGTAGGGTTTCCTCAGGATTGTTTTCACTCAGAAACACACCTGCAGGCATGGATATTAATTTGGGGTCATCAAGGGTCTGAGACAGGTTGTATATCTTGGGAAGCATCAAGAATATTCTTTGTCCCATGTACAATTATTACATCTGAAAAGACCTACACCTGTTAATCATGATACCTGACTCCCATCGTATGGATAATCACTCATTTATTCTGTTACATATCCTGTTTAATGACTACAAAATGGAAAGAATGCCAACACATGAGTCACAAAAGTGTTCTGGTTATTTTAGCACTTAGAACCATATTTAGCAGATAATCTGTGACAATTTAGAGTGCTTGAAAAGTGTGCTATCAAAGACAGCAAAAACATATATGTATACTTTCAGTCATTACACACCAAGTACACATGTCCAGACAGACATATTAGAAGCAGTTTACTGCTTATGAAGATATGAAAATCACTAATAGAAACACACCAAGAGATGTTGCTGCATGTTCAGACAGGGTGGAGGCTAAAGCACTTCAGGGGCCAAATCACTGATGGTAAATACATATGGATGTGTGGTTTTAGCCTGCTTTCTTATTCCAACTTTTCTTTTTAATTGAAACCAAATTTGCCGACATTTTCTTACCCCAAACAGGCAAATTTATAAACAAAACATGGATGTGTAAAAGTATGTGCTTGCAACTTAACCTGCAGTAAGTGCACAAGCGCTTGTGTGCATTTTGCATCCCTTTGTTTCACATAGAGTGAATGTTTGGGTGTGAAATTTAGACAGATTATTTTCTTCAGTTGAAAACACGTAACATTTTTCTGCTTTGGAAGTGTTTCAGAGGGCACGAAGCTGGAATATTGGCACTTTTTGCCCCTATTTTTACTATTGCCATTGATAAATGTTTCAGTATTCAACTAAAATGTTTAACTCCCTTAAATCTTTTTTTTTTTTTAAGTGGATGGTATACTTTATCTCGTCCAAGGTGAACAAGGTGGTCTATAGAGCCGTGACATGTCTTTTTGGAAAGCAAAAATGCTACTATTTTTTTTTTTTCAATTTAACGATGTATTGAAATTTTTTACATTTCTTAAAAAAATGTTTCTTGGCCATGAATGTTCTGAAATATATTAAATTTTATATAATTATGCTTCATTTGGTGAGTAATACAGGGTAACCCAGAGACCTGTCTTTTCAACTCCCTGTTATTGCTTTACTGTGCACTTTCTGGCATTTGAGCAAAAGCAGAATTTACAGAAACTGTGGCTTTTTTAGAACCTAAATAAGTTATTGGACAAACAGCAGTAAACATGCACTCAAAAAAGGCAGAGTAAAAGCATTTTTTTTTAATTTTTACAGTATAATTTTTAGAAACATACCACTTATTAAATAGGTTTGTTACTTAGGCAAGTCAAGGGAAACAATAATTATGCAATTTTCAACAATCTTGATACATTTTGTTTTAAAGTGCATCTGTGTCAAGACTATGAACATTAAATTATTCACACATTCCTAAAAAAAACCTGTAAAGTAACTTTAATTAAACAAGCCATTCCTGATCTCTGTAGTAGTTTGTACTGCAAGCTAATTATTTTTGCACAGATCACAACAAAAACTTGGGTTTCGGTTTATTTCTAACAGCTCAGAAACATCTGTTTTCTGTATGTTTACATTAGAAGGCTGTCAGAATGTGAAGATTCAGGTGCATTAACCACTTGCCCTCCAGAGGATTTACCCCCCTTCCTGACAAGGCCATTGCTTGGGATATGGAGCTACGTTACTTTAATTGACAATTGCGCGGTCATGCAACGCTGCACCCAAATTAAATTTACATCCTTTTCCCCCCCACAAATAGAGCTTTCTTTTGGTGGTATTTGATCACCTGTGCGGTTTTTATTTTTGTGCGTAATAATATATATATCATATAATATAAACATGTCTAGTAAAACAATTTTACATTTCGTCATAAATTTGGGCCAAAATGTATTCTGCTACATGTCTTTGATAAAAAAAAAAATCCCAATACGTGTAAATTAATTGGCTTATGTGAAAGTTATAGCATTTACAAATGGCGGTATATATACTGGAATTTATTTTTCATTTCTAATTTTGTACTAGTAATAGCGGCGATCAGAGACTTAAAGCGGGATTGCGGCGGGCATTCGGACACTGGGGGGAACACCAGTGACACCAATACAGTGATCAGTGCTAATAAAAAGCACTGACACTGTATTAATGGCACTGGGCAGGAAGGGGTTAACATCTGGGGTGATCAAGGGGTTAACTGTGTGCTGTGTAAGGGCTTTACACTGTAAGCACACTGCTTTGTATGGCTCTGCTACGCAGAGCCATACAAAGCAGTGTGCAGGAGCTGACAGGGGAGAGATATGTGCTGTTTATACACAGGTCTCTCCCCCATCGGAGATATTAGGCGATCATTGGGTGCCAGCGAGAAATCACTGGCCGGAACCCGGTGATTGAGAGCTGAGGCCGTGAATGGCAGCGAGGGTAGGGGCCCCCTACCTGGAACTGCAAAATCACTTTTATAGATGTGATTTTCCGCACCCGTGCTGCCCTGTAGCAGTATTTCTGCTATAGGGTGGAACGGAAGCGGTTAAAAACTAATAGAAAAAACACTGCAGCCGGCTATGCACAGATTGAAATTTCGATCTACCTATGGGCAGGCTGGTTGTACTAAAGTTGATCTTTGAAAAACCAGCCTGTTGATTTTTTTCGTATGATCAATGCCAGCAGCAGAGATCATTGTATTCTGACACGGGGAAACCTTGTGCTGTCAGAATACAGTAGTGCAGCAGGAATGATTCCCCGATCAACACTGACTGTGTTGATGTGGGAATCAAGCATTTTTCTTTCCTTCAATCAAAGAAAACTGCTTAGTGTATGGCCAACCTAAGATTTCTATCTCTGTTGTAAACTTTGAACATAATTTGAAACGCAATGTTTATAGCTACAGAGGTGATTAAAAGCTTGTTTAAAGTACTTTAACTGTTTGTTCAGAAAATGAAAAAATTGTAGTGTTCATAGTCTGGGCACAGGTTTTCTTTAAGCCACGTTGAAAGTCAATATTGCCTGAAAAGATGATGTTCTTAATTTTTGCCTTTGATTGCCCCCTACGGGGGCATTTTGTTAAATGTTAAAATATACATTTTATTCTTACTGTGAACACTCCAAAAATATATATTTAATGTAAGCAGAGACCCTGGAGAATAAAATAGTGGTAGCTGTAATTTTTATGTCACACAATATTTGTACATATTATTTATCAAACACATTTCAGGAAATATACACTAAAATGAATTTTAGTGCAAACAAACTCAACATTAAACCCACCATTTTGGTGAAATATAAAAGAATGGGTTTGCTTTGAGTAAACAGATACTAAACATTTCAAGTCTTAAAATCGCCCACACTTGTGGAATTGCAAAAAAGTATGGTACCCAAAATTCTCCATAGGCGAGGCTTTAAAAGCCTTTACAAGTTATCAGGTCAAACCATGAACCACATGTGGCACAACTGATGTTTACATACATGTACTTGACCTATGCTGTACTGTTTATATGGGATGTATACGAAGGAGGGGGAATATTGAAAACAATTTTTCAAATATTTTTTATTTTTTTAACTTTATTACTATCTAAAGGGGGCTAACAAAACAGGTCCCCCTTATTATCCCCAATGTCTCTCCCCTGTTGTCCAATGTAGCTATTCAAAACACAGATCCCTCAGACAAATCACAGGACATTGAGAATTCCATTAAAAGCCGCTTAATCGCTATTTTTCAGAACACTCTTCACAAGCTCTAAAAGCCAGTTCCAAGCTCACAGCTGCAGCGGTAGACAAATGGTTAATCTATAATGATTGTGTGCTATTGAAAGGAAGTATGTGTTGTCTTAAGCTTGCTTTTTAGCCTTTACCCTTTAGAATAATGCATGTGGGTTTTCCAGGAAAAAAAAAACAGGCAAAATTGAGGAAAATCCCTCTCAATCCCAGCAGGCCACAGTATTGTAAGCAAGCAATAGTAGGAGTGGATGATAAAAACAGAAAGGAGGAACAGTAATCAACTCCAGGAAAAAAGGAAATATGATTTACCTGTAAATTCCATATCTTGGAGTACGGTACAGGACACATGTAGAATATTCAAACAACAGGCAAGTACCTTCAGGCGACTGGACCCTGGCAAAGCTTTTAGAGGAAACATCCACTCAGTGCCTTCCAATAACCCCACTCCATTCCATGGAGTCCTCAGTTTTATAGCAAGCAATGGAGAGTAAACTGAGGAATGGAAGGGGAAGTGGGCTATATCATGCACTGTACCCAAAGGGGCATGGCAAGATGGTGGAAAAGTCACGATGCACAATTCCAAGTCTACGGAAGCATGTTGCTTAAAGCTCCCTCTTCAACATAGTGACAATTTGAGGGAGTAAAGTCTTCTGCAGCTTCCTCCAATACTCCCTCAATACCCTCTTCATTCCTTTCTGTGTCCACATCTTCTAGGATTGGCACATGGGGAACTGACCCTTGTTGAAAAATGGGAGTAGGAGAAAACGTTTGGCAATATTTGGTCCTGGAGATGGCTGTGATCTGTCCGAGGAAACATGACATAAGTGCAGAGAATGTTGCTTTTGACAAAAAGGCTGCTTGTGGTGTGCCTGAAAAAGAGCTAGAGACAGAAGCCGAGACCAGTGTTAGAGCTAGTTCTTGCTCTGGTTGCTGAGACCAGTGCTAGAGCCAGTTTTTGCTTTGAAGCAAGGGACCCAAACACCTTTTCAAGGTTAGGCCAATCACAAGACAGAACCAGATGTAACAGGGAATGCACTGGAAAAGTCTGAACGGGTTTAGGCTCTTTTGGACAACCCAGGGTAGTCACTTATAAGTAGCAGTTCCAAATCTAGGATCAAGATTTTATCCTTAAGCTCAGAAGTAATTTCTACAGACTGTGATACCTTATGTACAAAATCCTCAAATAAGGTTAACATACAATAATCCTCATCCTTGGCTGACTGTGTGGAAGAAACTTCAGCCTCAGGGAATTCAGAGACGGACTTGGCAGGAAAGGGCATGGAAGTGTGCTTGCAGCCCCTGCATTCTGACTCAGCTATCATGGCTGTAGTTGTGCCCATAAACTCAGACATACTGTACAGTGGTAGTTCAGAATTCCTTCCAAGACAATACTGAGGAAGGACAAAAGTTCTAAGAGGCCACAGTCAAAAGGAACCTGTGCAGAACCTCACCTTCTAGACAGTGAACAACTACCAAACACCCAATATCAGTTAAGTGGGGCTTTTTAGGTGCTTGATTTAATGTAATTTACACAGCAATCCCATTAAAAAATATATATATATATATATATATATATATAAATAAACTTTCCACATACATAGACCATCCCTTTTCTTTTCTCCCTGGTCTCACAGGTCAGATTGATAGTAGCAGAAGCCATTGGCTCCTGTTGCTGTCAATCAAATCCAGTGAGAAGGGAACAGGAGGTGGAGCAGAGTTACGTTCTGTGTACCTATGGACACTCGCAGTCTGGATTGAGAGCGAGCCTACACCTCTTCTCCAATAGCAACTGGCTTGCTACAGGGGCAGACAAAGAAGAGAAGGAGTCAAGCGGGCCAGTGGGAGACCCAAGAAGAGGAGGTTTGGGGCTGCTCTGTGCAATACCAGTGCACAGAGCAGGTAAGTATATACCTCTTTTTTATTTTAGGATAAAAAAAATTAAGCTTTACAATAATTGTAATACTTTAGTTATACTTTCTGTTAATTTGCTATACACTTTTAAATAACTAAGTGCATCAAAGGAAGCAGACATTTTGTTGTCTTACTGGCAAGTCATGACAATGATCAATCACACCACTAACATAAGTGTTACAAGACTTATGACGTCACACAATGAATGAACTTGCTGCCCCCTTCAAAATGTATTTATTTTTAAAAAATATATGCTTCCACTATGGATTAGTGAGTGTACATACACAGTGGCCATAGTGGTGAACTGCCTTTAGAACCTGAATTTAGCAATACTTCTATAAATAACATATCCACAATACAGCAGTACAGATTCCAAAATCTGTAGCTGTTTTATAGAGGAGTTTTAACTTTGTACTGCCTTATTGAAGATACACTATATTGCCAAAACTATTGGGACGCCTGCCTTTACACACACATGAACTTTAATGGCATCCAAGTCTTAGTCCATAGGGTTCAATATTGAGTTGGCCCACCCTTTGCAGCTATAACAGCTTCAACTCTTCTGGGAAGGCTGTCCACAAGGTTTAGGAATGTGCCTATGGGAATGTTTGACCATTCTTCCAGAAGCGCATTTGTGAGGTCAGGCTCTGATGTCAGACGAGAAGGTCTGGCTCGCAGTCTCCGCTCTAATTCACCTCAAAGGTGTTCTATTGGGTTGAGGTCAGGTCTCTGTGCAGGTCAGTCAAGTTCCTCCACCCCAAACTCGCTCATCCATTTCTTTATGGACCTTGCTTTGTGCACTGGTGTGCAGTCATGTTGGAACAGGAAGGGGCCATCCCCAAACTGCTCTCACAAAGTTGGGAGCATGAAATTGTCCAAAATGTCTTGGTATGTTGAAGCCTTAGGAGTTCCCTTCACTGGAACGAAGGGGCCAAGCCCAACCCCTGAAAAGCAAATGCCACCAACCTGTCACGGTTCGCTTTACACGCACATGCCCACAGCGACTAGCTAACCGAGGAGCGCACGTGCGGCCATGACTTGGAGTAAGAGGGAATAAGGGGGACTTAATCTGAATATATATACGTATATAAGACCGGCCGTGATATACTGTCACAGCCCGCGCTACCTCTGGCGACCACTAGAGGGAGACTCCACTCCAATGCAGCTGGCTGACCACACACACAGGTAGACACAAATCTTACATACAATCTGGTAAACTAATTAGGGTTGAGGAGCAGCGTAGCGATCGACACACCCTTCTAGGATTCCTCCAGCTGTCCTACAAGCTAGAACCCCAGTGTTAATCACTCTTCCACTGTCCACACACCCCCATACCAGACACACCACAAACGGTAGCGTGCTACCACCCAACAATTTATCTGCAGAACAGTCTGCTGGGACACCACACACACACAGATCTCCATCTGGCAGACCTGTCACCCTCACAATCTGCACACAATCTGCCAACATGCAGTGCAATTGCAAACAGATTGGCAATGAACTTGACCGAGCATATAAAGGCACTAAAATACAATACAATCTAATCTCTCCGGAGATATGAGCCCGCTAAGTACCCAGAAATCACTTATTAATTTTATGATTTAATATCCAGAAAGTGAGCAGTGCATAAGATATGTACAAAGTATAAAGAGTCACAAAAAATACAAAAATACACACAATTGGCTATTTACTATAAAATAAAGGGAAATAAAAAACAGAAATAAAACTTTTACCAAGAGTTATTCTGCGACTGGAGCAAGTCAGAGAAAGTCCACAATCCGTCAGTCAATAGGACGGGCTCCATACGAATCACAACGTCCATACCTCAAGTCCTCAATTTATGGGAATATGGACGTGGGCTGGACATTAGGTCTTGGCCAATCAACCCTGGGGGGTGTTCCCATACCAGCCCACAGGACGTTCTGGGTGCTGAAATGCCCAAAGTCGATTGGACCAGGAACGGTTTGAATCACCAAGTCAGGGATTGAATTTCCGACACCAGCGCATCAGTCCGATCACGACAGTACCAATCACTGTTCAGCTGTCGCAATCCGGCGTCACATAAGCATTTCCTGCATTTTTCTGGCATTCTACATAGGCCACAAATACGGTTTTTACATGCAGATGTAGCCCACAGAGTGCCCAATCAGAAGGAAGTATTTTCATCTCTCTGCAACTAATATTTTAGCTTTTATGAGAGATGAAATCTATTCCTTTGATCTGTATATATACTTTAAAGCTCCCCAGACAGATCGGAGTCCTCCTGGCCTTCTGCAGTCGAAATGTCTGGCGTTCAAGACAAAACTTATTGGCACTTAGGTGTCACTTCCAGCCTAGAAGCTGCTCTGTCTTTTCAGATGCTAATGGATGAGCACATGTCTCTGAATACTTATGACTGAATTTAACGACAAGGAATGAAACTAAATTTACAATTACATATTGCTACAGATCACATCTCAGTCCAATCACTTGAATCCCACATCTACGTTACAAACAACCCCACACAATAATCCCCCCCCTCCACCACAATTGGTACAATGCAGTAAGGCAAGTACCGTTCTCCTGGCAATCGCCAAACCCAGACATGTCTATCAGATTGCCAGACAGAGAAGCATGATTCGTCACTCCAGAGAACACGTCTCCACTGCTCTAGAGTCTAGCGGGGGTGTGCTTTACACCACTGCATCCGACGCTTTGCATTGCACTTGGTGATGTAAGGCTTGGATGCAGCTGCCCGGCCATGGAAACCCATTCCATGAAGCTCTATGCACATTGTTGTTGTGCTAATCTGAAGGCCACACAAAGTTTGTAGATCGTTAGCTATTGACTTCTGCGCACTGTGCGCTTCAGCATGCGCTGACCCCGCTCTGTCATGTTATGTGGCCTACCACTTCATGGCCGAGTTGCTGTTGTTCCCAGTTGCTTCCACTTTGTTATAATACCACTGCCAGTTGACCATGGAATATTTAGTAGCAAGGAAAGTTCATGGATGGACTTATTGCACAGGTGGCAACCTATCACAGTACCATGCGTGAATTCACTGAGCTGCTGAGAGTGACCCATTCTTTCACAACTGTTTGCAGAAGCAGTCTGCATGCCTAGGTACTTGATTTTATACACCTGTGGCCATGGAGGTGATTGGAACACCTGAATCCAATGATTTGGAGAGGTGTCCTAATACTTTTTGCATTATAGTGTATAATTAAAAATAAAAGTGCTTCTGAATTCACAGCAAAGAACATGTAAGCCTCACAACTGCCAGTTGACTGTTGTTGCACGAATTTGCAAAAAAAATAAAAGTTGGTGCATTTTCTGCTTATTTTTGACACTTTTTTAGAACACAATATAAAATAGCATACATGGGCAAGATCTAAGAAAATAATTTCTTCAGTTCATGTTGCAATAATTATACATATAACATTAATGGACTATGTAAAATAAATGCATTTAATGATATGCAAACTATTTTTAAAAAATCTGGAATTTTGCTGAAAAACTGTAAAAATTGGCATTCACATATTCTGAAATTGAACATTACGCCCTTGTTACGTCTTCAGGCTTGTTTGGAGCAAATCGCCAGAGAGCAGCAAGATGTGTTGTAGGTTAAACACAAAGAGGCTTTCTGACAGTCAGATTCATTTTCAGACAACAACAAAGGTCACACAAAGTTCAGGATATGTGTCAGGTCAGAAGCTGTCCCCCAAAGCAGAAAAATGGTGATGTTATAGGTATTACTTACGGCAGATCAAGCAGCACATCGTCTTGGTTTTGATTTTCACCATTTAGCATCAGTAAAGCCCTTCGAGACTCCAGGCAAGGCCGCTGCCCTATTTTCCTTTTTCCTTGGAGTTTCTGGACTTTTTCACTGCTACTTGCCCCTGATTTCCAGAGAGCTGGGATATACATGCAAGTCTGATGGCAGAAATGTTGTATTAGGAAAAATACACAAAAAAGGAATACATTGTGGGCATTAACAATAACAGACTGCATGAACACTCTTGATAAAAAAACACAATCCCGATTACTTGCGATTATTAAAGAACTCCAATAAGGTCCTTTTACACATTAAACTGGGAACAAAGCATAAAGTCCAGAAAAATATTAAAACAATACTACCATATTTAAACATACATTTTTTTAGGAACCCCATGTCTAAAAAAAGTCATATACATGTAGACATTTTAAAATTAGTTGTGTTGCCACTCCTCGTATATTTATATATTTGTTTATTTATTTCAGGTACTTTTATAGTGCCGTCAATTTACACAGCGCTTTACATATATATTGTACATTCACATCAATCCCTAACCCTCAAGGGGTTTACAATCCAAGGTCCCTAACTTACATTCATGTATACACATACTAGGGCCAATTTAGACAGGAACCAATTGTCCTACTAGCATGTCTTTGGAGTGTGGGAGGAAACCCACGCAGGCACAGGCAAACTCCAGGCAGGTGGTGCCGTGGCTGGGATTCGAACCAACGACCCTAGTATATTAACAAATTGTAACTCCACTTTTATTGAGGAAAGAAAAACCCACAACATTCCCCTCTGGGTGATCTATGTACAATGCAAGGATTTTAACAAACTTTGTTGCAGATACCTACCTTATGTTACTCTGAAGAAAAAGCTGTTTGTTTCTGTATCCATGTGCAAAGTGAATGTGAATGGGAATGGGAGTGACTCTTTCATTATTGATCAGCTGAAGAACCTGCAAGGTTCTAAAGAGAAACGTGGCAGGGTCTGAATGCCTTTAGACGAGATTAACCCTTTGGGAGTATCTCACCAAAATGGACATTTTTGTTGCAGAGAATGTGAGGATGCCCAAAACATGATCTGTAACTTTGTGCTGACTTCTGGGAAAATCAGTGAGCCAATCACACAAGGAAAGCATGACCGTTTCTGGGGGTGTTCTGTACACCATATGTGTATAGAATGACTACAGGTTGCCATATTGCATAGCATTTTACAGAAAATAAAGAGATGCAGATTGAAAAGGTAATTTTTAATAACAATATATTACAATATGGCTTGTGTCGCAATTGTGTATGCTATATTATGTTTTTTTTTTTAATTTGCTACATTTTTGACCATTATGTGAAACTAGGTGCTATCTATTCTATAAAATAACAGAAACAAGTTCACTACATAACTCTGAGGATGCAAGTAAGATTAGATTTGCAGCACAAATATCAAGGCTGCCTGCCTGCTCAGCATAAGTTGAGAGATCTAAGCTCTGTGCTGTCTTTACAGTGTTTTTTTTCAAGCTGCATTTTGTTTAGCTGGAAACTTGAGAATATGCTTGTGTATGTGCCCTAAGGGTTAACTTTGTGCAGTGATGTGTTAAAGCTAAAGGGACAGTTCTGAGTGATAACAGCTGCCCCTCTGCCAAGACCTGACCTGAAAAATTAGTATGAGCAGTCAGAGCTAATTATGAGGTGAGTAAGGACAAATATCCCTACAGGTTCTTTGCAGATTTGCTAGATAAAGGCTATGTGAAATGCACAACAGTAAAACGAGCTTTAAAAAAGCCTCAATGATGACAACGCAGCTCCAAAGTCTACTTGTCTCCTGTATAACCATGCTATAGTCTAGGTAGGACTTATTTTTTTACCTAGAAAGGGAATAATTGTTAAGCTGATGAAAGTGGTCAAAACATCACATCAAAACATTACGTCCTGGTCACTAAACCATAAATTACTTTGTAGACAAAATGGATATTAAAGTGATGGTATTTTTACACTAACAATTAATCAGTGGGTACATGAGTCCATTTTTTTAAATTTCCATTCCCCCATCCACACACCAAATGTGGATGAAAGAATCCTCCACGCTGAGCAATTGTATTCTCACAGCAAGGAGACATCCCTACCGTCAGAATACACTAATCAGAGCTGCCAGCTAGTGACAAAGATCCTACAAGGCGGCTGTACAGTTAGTAGATCGACTTCTGTACATACCTTGCCCATACACGAGTCAAAATATGTCTGGTTCCTGCTGAACTGGCTGAATTTGGGTCTATGTTTTGACAAAATTTTCACCATATCACTGTTCTTTAATGCACTTTTTCAGTATAAGATTACTCAAATATACTGAAAAATACATGACATTCAAACAATCACCTTATAAACTACTTTACAACATATCACATGCCTGTATTAAGCTATATAAAAAAAGTAGTAAGTCAATGTCAATACAACAACTGGTCTGTATATACTGTGGGGCACTACTGTTGACATATTCAACATCAATAATGTAGTTTGGTGGTTCATGGCATTTTGGAGATTCTGAAGAAGCCTTCCTGGCACTACAAAACACTGCAATGTGGTAAGGATACCTAAAAGAGTTCTATAACCACTTGCCTACCGGGCACTTTTACCCCCTTCCTGTCCAAGCCAATCTTCAGCTTTCAGCGCTGTTGCACTTTGAATGGCAGTTGCGCAGTCATGTAACACTGTACCAAATATGACATTTTTTGATCATTTTTTTTCACACAAATAGAGATGTCTTTTGGTGGTATTTAATTGCCACTGGGATTTTTATTCAATTTTTTGCACTATAAACGAAAAAAGAGAAAAAAACTGAAAAAAAAAAAAAGGTTTTCTTTGTTTCTTTTGTTATAAAATGTTGCAAACAGGTAAATTTTCTCCTTCACTGATGTACATTGATGAGGCTGCAATGATGAGGCAGCACTGATAGGCTGCACTGATGAGGCAGCACTGGTGAGAATTGATGAGGAAGCACTGATGTGCACTGATAGGCGGCACTGAGGGGCAGCACAGCTGTGCACTTTTGGAGCTGCACTGATAACCAGTGCCCTGATTATCAGTGCAGATGTCCTCTGTGACACTTGTGGTTATCAGCAGTACTTTCCTCACACTGTGACAGCATGAAGAAAGTGCTGCTGATAAACAGCAACTGAAATTCACTTTGTGATCAGCTGTGTCATTGGAAACAGCTGATCGCGTGGTAAAAGGTCGCTGTGATTGGACTTGTACCTTGTCATGTGATCAGCTGTGTCCATAGGATACAGCGATCATAGACAGCGCCTGGTAGGGTGCATTCTGGGAGGATGTCATATGACACCCTCCCAGAACTGGACAACCGCACTGTAGCCATCATTCGGCTATAGCCCGATTGTCAAGTGGTTAATTTTCACTGTCACCCACTTTTTTTTTTACTTTTAAGATCTTGTACTTTACATGGCCTACACATCTGCTTTAAAATTAAAGTGACACTAAATTATATCCTTATTTTTCAAAAACAATCCATATACATCCACCACCTAATGGCCCTGTAATCTACTTTTTGTGAATTTTTTTTCTTACTATGTTTTCTTACATTCTTGTAGCTTTCCTTGTAATCTGAACCTTTCATTTAACTTTTCACTTCTGTTTGTTTGCCACATGACCACAACTAACATACACTGCTGGTTCCAGTCATTGCTGTGTGCACACAACACATCCCATAATACATAGTCCATGGTCCCTAGTCTATCTCAGGAGCAAGAAATAGAGGATGGTTACACCTCTACTTACAGTGGGGCTACAGAAAACGAACATACCCCTAACAGGAAGTTGTATTGCAACAGCAAACATAAATAAATATGTACATTTTTAGATTTGGAGAAGGCTGAGAAACAATTGAGTACTGTCCGTGATACTTTTTTTTATTTGCACTAACATACAGTTTTTCAGGACAAGCTTTTGGGGTGTACCCCCCTTTTTCAAGGTCTAAGCAGTACCCTAAAGCTTGACCTGAAAAATTGTATGTTAGGGCAAAAAAAAAGTATCACAGATAGTATTCAATTGTTTCTATCACAAGTGCACTAATATGGCTACAATCACCTCAAGAGAGGAGGATGAACAATTGAAAGTACTTTTTTTAGTTAAAAATACATGTTTGAATTGAATATTTGAAAAAAACTAGGAGTTTAGCATCACTTTTATACCTATAACAAAAGAGCACACAACAAATCCCAAGTGCCAGGTCATCATGGCGACTAGAAACTTATGTCCTGGCACCTGGGTTCACATACTGCCTTCCACAGATTTTAATGGGAAATCGCGCCCCATAGACTTCAATGGGCAAACGCCTCCCATAGACTTCAATGGGCAAACGCATCCCATAGACTTCAATGGGCAAACGCATCCCATAGACTTCAATGGC